AAGCCCCTCCTCTTGGTGTTCGTGTAATGACGCTATCAGACAACCAGCCAACATGTGGAACCCAACTTAGAAAATGCAAACTTGGAAAGGATCTAAGGTATTTTAATGTATCACAGGAGAGCCCAGCCCAGCGTGGGCCCAGGAGCGGCTGGTGCCTGGCATCAGAAGCATACAGGTATACTATGCAAGCGTATTCTGCCACAACAATCACTGTCTTTGTTACATATCCGTCACCTAACCCTGAGTCTCTGGAGTACCACAGCTGGAGTGCTTGCGTCTTGTAGGCCCTCTGACCCCCATTTCTCAAATGGGGTTCTGGCCCTGCTCAATACTACAGGTAGGCTGGTCCTAAAGTCCACTGGTAGAGAATGTCAACATAAGAAGCCGCTCGAAGGAACATGTGATTGACATGCAGCAGTGGGAACTCTAAATGAATGTCAGAATGGGACGGACACCTCGCCAAGCACCAGTTCTGCGTGTCTGGGTCTTCCTCTTGTTGCTGTGGTGGGCCTGTTGACTCTGGGAGACAAGCCAGAGCACAGTAGCATATGGGGTCTGTAGCTCATGAGGATTGAAATCATCCCAAATATTTAAAACTGTTTAAATTGTGAAACCTGTTGCTAAAGAATATTATGAACACTGGTCCATAGGCCTGTACTAATTTACACATTAGCAATATTGATTGTATCTGCATTAAGGAGCCACCAAGGGGCCATGCAAGCGACCCACACATGTGTGTTTTAAAGTTCTATCATCCACAGGCACAGGTATGTGTCCGTCCCTGTAATGGTGAACCAGATGAATTGGCCTGGCTACTATTGTGGCCATATGCTACAGTTTGGCAAAACAATATCATGTTTCAATTTTCTGTGTGGACAACAATGTGGACACTAAAATTGACATATTTTTATGTAAAGGTTTTCTATTGTTTGATTTTTAATAAACTTTAGAAACAAAAAAAAGTTCAAGAGCTCAACTAGTCTCGGATTTTTTAAAAAAATGGATGGTAAGTAGAAGGAAATGAGGCCCATATACAAGAAGTATTTCAGAGGTGGCGAAATGTCACATGTTGCTCAGGTTCAGCACTGGAACACAGAGCAGAGCAGAGCAGAAGACACAAATAACTAGGCTGTAAGATGGCTCACGGGCCAACAAACAGGAATCTGGGCCCTGTTTCTTAACGAATGAAGGGCACTGCAAGAAAAGGTTGTAAATATTGTGAACAATGAAAAGCAGAGGAAATAGAAAGCTCATGAGATCTCAAAGGAGGACCTTTGAAACCTAATATATAGGGGTTCGGGAGATGACTCAGTGTTTAAGAGCATACACTGTTCTCCAGAGGACCTGTTTGGCTCCCAGCTCACAACTGCCTGCTCCAACTCCAAAGGTTCCAAAATGCCTCTTTGTGGACTCCATGCATACCATGTATGTTCATTCTCTCTCACACTCATTCTCTTTCCCTCTCCCTCATCTTCTATTTATATATAGATCATGCAGACATGAAAAAATATTAATACGTAAAACCTGTATTTCTCAAGTGCTATGTGATGTGTGAAAGTGCTAATGTGTAACATTCAACTCAGAACACATCCAGCTCAACACTCGACCTCTTCTTCCTATATGTGAAAACAGTGAAAATCCTTTCTTCTATCCTTTTAAAACAGCATGAACTGGAAATAATAGGTCCTATACCATCATACCTACTCACCAACATTCCCCTATGGTCTCTAGAATCTTTATAACCACTATCTCAATTCTAAATTATGTATTTAGATTCTGTACAAGAGATGCACGAGAAATAGTATCTCAATAGGAATAAAAGGGCTATGAAATAGCAACGGTGAATTTTAAAGGAAAGGGAGGAAAAGCAGCAGACAGGATGGCAGAGGTAGCAAGACAGAGAAAGAAAAAAGAAAAAAAAAACGTAAATGTTAAGCCTAAAGATATTAGCAGATGGAAAAAAAATAGCTTCAACTTGGCAGGGCTGAGAAAATTCCAGCTGGAGAAAAGGAGATAGAGTGAGGCTTTAAAGGAGTGAAAACTACCCTAAGAGTGGTATGTGCCATATGTGCTTGTGTGTGTGTCTGCACATATAGGTGTGTATATGTGCATGCATGTAAGTGTGCATTCAAGTAGTGCAGCACGAGGTAAAAGAAAGAAAAAGTCATTTTACAGATAAAGAAGCTGAGGTTAGCGATTAGGCTGAATGTTTTCAGAGCCATAGTCAGTGAAGTAGCTGAACAGGGTTTCTATATGGATGTTCATTTATCATGTCTACTACCATGACAAAGAACTCATTAAGAGCCCAGCTTATTATCTCCATTAAGAAAACGAAACTCAACTACTTGGTTTCCCACTAGAACTGATAGTAAACCCACATAATCCTACTGCTGAAGGTAGCACACATCAGTAAGACTCTTCCCCACTGATTTCACAGTGCAAGAGGACACCTTTGCAAGCTGCTGACGGAGAGAAGTCATCAACAGTCTTACTGTAAGAATGTGCTCGTGACAACCTCCCTGGCCAAGTGTGCCCTCTGGTCCAAAAGTGCCTTGACTGTTATGTAAGTAACAGATGGCTTTCTGATTGGATTTGAAGCCCAGTCCACAGGACGGAACTCATGCCTACTGTAAATCTGGTCAAACACTTATGGCTTGGCGAGGTCAAAGGCCACAGAGGAAAACCTATCACCCAGGATTTGCTAAATGATCATGTCACATTTCCTTCTAAATGCTCATGTTTATGTGTTCGAGTTAGTGTTGTCCACAGCCCGGAGCAGAGAAGCCTTCTTACTGCAGTAGGTGGCAGTTAACGCAGAGAAGCTTAACTAGTCAGAGTGCCAAGAACACAGGGTGGGGTGTGTTCAGCCCAGTGAGGCATCACATCCCTTCCAAGGCTGTGGAACACTGTGGTACAGCCACAGACAGGGAGATGTGAAACAGAAACTACATGGACACGGACACACCATAGCACTGTGCTGGTGACTTCACCGAGGCTGTGGTAACTTGCCCAAGATTGAGCCTGTCAATGTTTCATCGTGGATAACAGAGGGACTATGAGAACCTACGCTTCCTGGTCGTCTGCTGTCAGTTAGTGGTGGCCAGACGGGGGGTGAGGGGATAATTTTCTTAAGTGCTGGAGCCTCTGATAAGGTGTCCATGCTCCAGAAAATCCTTTCCACCATGCTGATGCAGAGAATTCTAACTAAAGTGGGTTCCGTAAAAGAGAAGACATGAAAGTGAAGGGTGGCTTCTTGATGTCCAGCAGGAGGCAGGACGAGAGGAGAATTAGGAGTGAAAATGACTAAGATTCATTATACACATGTGATGTAATTGTCAAAGAGTAAAAATGAGCAAAGTCATAATAAAAGGAATATATTTCATCTGTGAGATACACTTCTACCTTCAGTAACTAAAGCCTTAAGCACTTTTAGAAGCCTCAGATCTGTAAGTATTGGGTTTTCAAGAAAGTTTTGCCCTTTTTTTTAAACATCAGTTTACTTATAATTGTCTCTTTCAACAACTTGTTTAGCAAGATTAAAATATTAATTAAAATTTAAAAAATTGCACTATATAAAAATAACAGCACACTTCCTTGTATGATACTGATTTTTTCGTTTAATGCAAACATTTGTGTGCTTCACATGTAAGGTGGGTGCCTTTTGTCTTGGTGAGCTTTGACTCTCAACTTGAGTCATGTGAGAGAGGAACTGCCTAGATCAAACTGGCCTGTGGACATGGGGAAGGGGGCTGTCTCTACTAAGTGCCAGGGGAGGGTTCTGTCCACTGTGGGTGCTATCACTTCTTGGGCAGGTGGTCCTGGGCTGTATAAGCTAGCTGAACGCAAGTCTGTATGAGCCAGCAAGTACAGTTCCTTCCTGGTTTATACTTCAAATTCCTGTCCTGACTTTTCTCAACAAGGAACCCTAACTTAGAACCTGAAATACATCTTTTCTTCCCCTAAGCTGCTTTTGGTCAGAGCACTTTACACCAGTAAAAGAGATGAAGCTAGAACATTTTTATGTGTTATGTTCACTGGCTTGCACACAGTTTTCAATGGCAAACTATATCTAAAAGACACTGCAAAACTAACATACATGATGGTAAAAGTTCAAATCAACCTAATGTGAACATGGTTCTGCTTCAACATACTCTGACACACAGAGAAAATATTTTTTCTAAAATGCATATTAAGGAGAAGCTTTGCATTAAAAACAGATGTTTCATTTCATATCATATGGTAGCAATAGCATCATACATCAGTTTGAGAAACAAATGCACGTGTATCTCTCTTCTTGATGACTTCAAACTTTTAGAATTACTGTTGCAAGAAAGAAACACCTTTTTTTCCTTTTCTTTTCATTTTATTCATTTTTTTACATACAATATATTTTTATCATATTCTTTCCCCTCCCTCAAGTCCTCCCAGATGCTCCCCACCTACCTACCCACAATTTCATGTCCTCCCCCTCTCAAAAACATAAAACAAAGGTCAAAGCAAACAACAACAAAAAAAAACCAGTACGACAAAAATATTAAAAAAAGCACACATTTCACATGGAATCTGTTTAATGTTTTTCTTTTCTTTCAGTGTATGTAATATGATGGTCCCAGTTATGTGCCTGACCCAGGTGATGTTAAGTATGCATTAGCATCACCTAGGTAAACAATGATACAAGAAGTCTTGTTCTCATTTTAATCAGAGCACCAAGAACTCTCACTCACACAGAACTCTTGGCTATCATAGCTACAATTTCAAAATGGTAGAAAAGGGTTAATTAAAGCCAATTCTTTCTAAAATAAAAATATCACCCACAATCTTACAGCAGTAAAACTGTGGAATTCTATTACTCTTCCCCAATGAAACCAAGACACAGACACTGAACTCTCAAATTAAATATGATCAAGAGAGCAACACTCCAGTTTATGTTTAAGCTAATGAAATTGGTAACAAAATCCAGACTTCTAGAATACATAGCCATAATATGCACTTTTACTTACCAAATCATAAATTTGGTTTGCCAACTGTACTTTCTCATCTGCATCTTCCAAAGCCTTATAGTAGTCCTAAAGAAAAACGTTTTCACTTTAAACATTGGCAACAGACACATATACCTTCCTGCTTTTTCATTACTCTACCTTGTTATCACTTGGTCAGCTCATGTTGGCAATAACAAACCTCCAGGACAGGGGTGGTTGGGAGGGCATCAGAATAAGAAGCAGAGTCAAAAACTAAAAGAAGATGTTAAAAAATCTCAGAAAAGACATAAATAAAAAAAAAGTTATGCCAGGTCCAGTCTCTTTACTAGGAAGTTCTGAGTTAATAAATAAGAAAATAAAAGAATGCTAGATTTAGCTAACATGTAAAACGCAACAACGCTCCATTTTTACAACTTGAAAACATTTATCTGCTGTGTGTGTGGTGCTGCGCATGCGTGTGTGCCACAGGCCCATGGAGGTGAGAGGGTCAGGGTCCGTCAGACTGCGGACTGCTATAGATGGTGCTGAGCCGCCACACAGCTCTGGGGAACAAGACCTGCTCTTCTCAAAGAGTAGCTAGTGCTCTTAATCATTGAGCCATCTCTCCACCTCCAATTTTTACAACCAAAATAGAGCCACAGAAAGGATTCTGGCCTACATGTTTCTGCTGTCCAACTGGTCTACAGTTCTAGTTTTAAATTAGGTACTATAGGTATTTCTCCATGCTATTTTTTTAAAATAACAACAACAACAAAAATCCTATGAGATTCTACAGACAACTTTGGAGGGTATGTTCAAGTTGTGCTACATCAAAACAAACAAACAAACAAACAAAAACCCAAACCTTTAATTGAATTCCAGATTAACACGTGCAAGCTCTAAAGTCTTACACACCTGTGTACTTTATAAGCTTTGACCACTTCTCTTATGAATACAGATATTTTTTGCCTCTACTAAGAGAAACAATTTTTCTTCCAAATCGGAAAGTAAATAATGCAACTATGAAAATTTCAGTTTCAAAACTAATGTTTCTGTAGATCCTTAAAATTTATATAAAGGTTGGGTGTAGGGACGTGTTCTTCCTCATATTAAAAATGTTGAACCATGTCACACAGCTACAGGGCAGTGAGGACCAAAGCCAAGTCTTTGAGGTTGTTTTTGCAGTGCCTCCTTGAAGACACTAGATCCCACGTGCACAGCACGTTCACTTCACCTAATCCGCACTAGCTGCAACTCAGAAAGAATTACAGGAAGCTCTAAGCCTGGGACTCTCAACTTTCCAATGCTGTGACCCTTTAATACAGGTTTCTCTTGTTGTGGTGAAACCCAACCATAAAATTATTTTCATTGCTACTTCATACCAATAACATTGCTACTGTTATGAATCGTAATGTGTTCTCTAATGGTCTTAGGTGACCCCCAAGTTGAGCGCCACTGCTCTAAAACATAGCAAACACCCATACGCCACTCCTAACATTCCCTTATTCATTATCCAGGGATCTACTTCATTTTAAATATCCCTCTCAGAGGGTCCCAATTGTGACTGACAACCATCCATTCACTTACTTTTTTAATGGATGCCATCTGCTCCTCTCGCCACTCCGGTTTATTCTTCTTTGCATTCATAAAGAATTCACTGACTCTTTGCTCTAGTTGATCCATTGCATCTGACATAATAAAACATTTCATACTTAGCTGACCAAACTGCTTTGATTTGAGGAAAGACACAAAGTCTGACAATATGCACTGTTTTAGTTTGCTAGTGGCTTACGTACATTATGCTTTTATTCTATAAACAGTGACGCCTTAATTTCCTTTGTTTTGAAAACCTGCAACATTCTGTACTGATTTCTGTTACTTCAAAGCACTTTCCAATAATCAAGGTAGAGTCAACCACACAGACAGGAGATGTATGGCCGCAACCCTCAAATGGCACAGCGCTGAAATCAAAGCGAATGGAATGAGCCGGCTGGTTATGGCAGTCAGAGCTGCTTACGGAGAGCACTCCCGGGGAGTTCTCAGACTTCTGCTACTAAAGAGGGTGACAACAGATTCAACACTTACTGCCTGGCACCAAGCACCCCATCACTTCATTTCATGTGGCGGTATGAGACGCGGTAATTTGCTCACTTAAGATGCCACTTAGGCACTCAGTGCACATGCTATTTACATGCTATTTACTTTATGGAAGGTTTTTCCAAAGCCCATGCCAAAAATAATGACCATAGCGGATGACCGCTAAAAAAGGCAAACAAATAAAAGGGATTTGTGTTGTTTTGGAAATGGAGAAAAACCTGCTCATCATATTCATCATTTAAACAACTTCAGTGCAGAATAGCTTTTTAAAAAAGATTCTTAGAAATTCCAGCTAATCCTAATTTTTAAAAAGCATTTTACTTTCAGTTGCATGTTTTTAAACATGCTGCTACTTTTGCTAATACATAATCACCTTTAACTTTAGAAAATTCCAAAGTTTAAAAAATTAAATGATTAAAAATGTTTTAAATTATCCCTCATTCTAAACCTATCTGTAATGGGTATTATACATCCTATTTGTATTATTTTAAATCCTCAGGAGACTGTCATATATATATATATATATATATATATATATATATATATATATATGTCATATATATATATATACATGCCCCCAAGGCAGCACTATAGCAAAGGTGGATAAGAAGCTGTTGATGTCCTAGAGTGAACCCAAATCTATCTGACATCAAGCTCTGTTCAATCCCCCCAGAATGTGCCTCAGCCAATATTTCCTACTGCAACTACCAACGTAAAAAAGAAAAATCACACACACACACACACACACACAAAGAAAAATCACACATATACCTATCACACATTTATGATGGGCTACAGGGAAATACATCCAAGAGAAGGCCCAGAGACTGAGAGGAGAAAAGTATATTCAGGAACAAAAGGTACCAGTGTGTGTGTGTGTGTGTGTGTGTGTGTGTGTGTGTGTGTGTGTGTGTAGGGGGTAGGTTCAGGGATAAGGGTGGGGAACTAAGAATGAAAAAGAACAAGCTCTCAGCAAACTCAAGTTGCCTTTGAGCCACTTCCAGTCTGGCTTTCCAAAGGAACAAGGTTAATTTCGGGAATAAGTCACATACAAGACTGCCAAGCACTGATAAAAAAAAAAATAAAAGCTGTGCCATGCCTGTAAATCCCAGCACTAGGCACGCAGAAGTAGGAAGATCACATTAGAGCCAGCCTAGGATGCACAGTGTGAGCCCAGCCTGAAGTACATGGCTGTTGATAAAACAAGAAATATCTCGATTTTTATAAAGAGCAGATTGGAAGATGCCCGGTAAATTCTTATTTCCCTCACTCGTTTTGCCTGAGAAAATGGTCATGGTGTTGACAGCGCTAAGTGTGTTCCTTGACGTGCAACTTGTCAAAGTTCGGCCTTCCAAGTTCACTAGGGTCCCTAAAGAGCTGCCCAGAATCTGTGACTCTACGTCTTTACTCTTGAGAAATTCGGGACGTAATGAACGTTCAGGTCTGAACGCAGAACTCCGAGTTCCACCTGTAGGCTCGCGTGCAAACCTTCTTCGAGTCACGCGGGTTTCCACTGCGGTGCAGTGTCGTCATCTCCATGCAGCCCACAAACACTGTGTTTTCTGTGCCCCGCGTGTGAACGGAACGGTGCGCCTGCCGCCTCCAGTCACGACAGCCCAAGAAAAGTAGCGCGGAGGAGCCGGCAGGCGCCGCCGCGGCGAGGCCGGGGCGGCCGCGGGGCCGCGGAGACGCGCCACTTACTCTGCACCTGCAGATCCATCTCGCGCATCTCCGTGAAGCGGTCCCGCAGGTCCATCGGAAGCTGCTCGATCACTGTCAAAGGCACAGTCCGTCAGAGGGCGGGGCCAACGGCGGAGCTACGCGCTGGCGTCACGCGTGCGTGCGTGCGTGCGTGCGGGGGGGGGGCGGCTCACAACGAGGCTGCCAGTTACCGTGAGAAAGAAACATCCCCCGCTCCCCCTCCCTCCCGCCATCCCGCCCGCCCGGGCCACTCGCGCTCCCGCCCGCCGCGGATCCCGATCGCCGCGTCGCCGGCGCCGCGCACTCACTTTCCAAATAGTCCTCTAGATACAACATCGCGGCCCTGACTGGTGCGGAGGCGAACGGGTCCAGGGGTTTATTTGTGTCACTCGCTGTCGCCGGAGTTTTGTCCCTTCCAATATGGCGCCTCCGCTAGCAGCACCCGCTCGACTCCGGCAAAGGGAAAAAAAAAAAAAAAAAAAAAAAAAAAAAAAAAAAAAAAAAAAGGCCCCACTTTGGCGCCTGACGGCGCTTGCCTCACTGCCGCCCGCCGCTGCCATTGGCTGTCTGGAGCGCTGACGTCAGCAGGCCGGTGCGGACCCCCGCGGTGTTCTGGGAAATGTAGTCTCTTTTTTTAAAAAGAGCCGGGCAACAGGGCGGGCATCTCCTGCGTGGCAACTACAGAAACCACACGCCTGCGCGAAACGGGCACGCCAGCATCCGAAATGCGGTGCCTCTGTTTATTTGTTGATTTCGTTCATGGGGAATGATGGGAGTTGTATGCGCCTGCCTGACATAACTGGAAACAACTTTTCACCTGTTCTGCGCTGTGATTCCTAGCCCGCCGTTTGTGAGTCATGGATTTCTAGCTGTGCTGGGCAAACAGCAAAGATTCCAAACGCTAGAATAATCGGCCAAGTTCGGAAAATTCGGATTGTTTAGAACAGAACTCGCTGCTGGAATTTACTTCATTATCCACTTCTGAGATATAAAAGGGACAGTTGATTGGTGTCCCTATAACTTTAAGATGGTTTATGTGAGACTCGAGCGAATGTGCATTTCCCAAATTAAAAGATGCCCAAAATAGTCTGCAGTAGCCAGTTATGTTTTGCGGCGTGTCTCGTGTTCATTGTAGAGCAACTGTTCTGATGCACCTGCAAAATAAATAACGACAGACCAACCATAAAATTATGGAGATTTAATCCATTGCTGGTATGTACCAACAATGACTCGAATTTATGTTGGGTAAGTAGCTGGGTTAAGGTTTATAGTTCTGGACAAGCTCTTTTTCTAACCCTGGCAAATGTTCGCTGTGCTTAGTTAGTGTATCACTGCGCGCCGTTTCTATCTTAAAATGCCTTTCATAAAAATTTGTTCACTAAGTGCTTTTGTGTTTGGGGGGAAATGATCCCTTCTTAAACTATCTAGCAGAGAATGTAGACACACACCTGGAATTCCTACACTGGGGGAGTTGAGACAGGAGGAACAGGAGTTCAAGCCTTGGCAACAAAGGCAGTTAGAGGCTAGCTTATATTATGGGAAACCCTATCTCATACAAAAAAAGAAAAAAAAAAGATAACATTTTAATATTTATTTTATTCACCACTCAGAATATGTCTATATTACAGCTTTAAATTTTTAAATGACATACCTTAGAAATTCTATTTTGTTCTCTTTTAAAGACATTTTCGTATTTCTTGCGTGTTAAACATATTTAGTCTACATCTGTTTAGTTTAAATTCAGTACTGAAAACTGTGTCTATCTGTGCTATTTCTTCAAAAGCAGCAACGTTTGCTCATAGTGCCTAATTTCATCTGGTTGGGATTTTTAACTCTGAATTCACTTTTCTGGGGTTATAAATATCGAGATTCTTGAAGACTGGAGTTAAAATTGAGTTTTCCTGGAGAATATTATCATTTGATTCTGCAAGTTTGCTGAAAGACACCATCAAACTTACGACCAAATTAAGTTGTGTAGTTGAGGTTTATTATATTGCACAGATAGATAGAATTGGAGCCTGTAACTCAAATACGTCATATACTCTCAAGGGAGGCTTTTTTCTTCCTTATTGGTCTCTACATCCAAGACAAGTATGCTTTCTTCCTGGCCTCTTATATGAAAAGTTTATTTCTTCACTCACCTTTGCATAGGGACTATTCCTCTTGGGAGCCTCAAATTTTGTCTTCTATTAGACTCCTCCTTGAGAACTGATCATTGACTTTCTCTTCTGACGGTGTCATGGTGAATAGCAGTCAAAGCAGGAACTCTGCATGTCCAGACTTCTGATTAGTGATCTCTGAACAACCGCTCACTTTGACCCTTTCTCTCTTCATGTGGGCTTACTTTCCTCCCTCATCTCTCCTGTATCCACTGTGAGAATTCTTGATGTTTATCTAGAATATCAATACATTTAAGTTTATTTGTTCGGTTTTTTTTTGTTTGTTTGTTTGTTTGTTTTGACGCAGGATCTCAGGTAGCCTAAGCTAGCCTCCAACTCACTATCATAATCAAAGAGCTCTTGAACTTCTAATCCTCCTGCTTCTACCACCAAACTGCTGATCTTACCACCTCACCTCATCTTGTACCACCTCACCCCATCTGTCTCCAGCTGAGCTTGTTAACTCAGAGGATTTTTGTTTTGTTTTGTTTTGTTTTTAGCAGACATTGCATTCAAAGTAGTGAATGTGGTACGCTGTCAAAGCAGAAGCTGGCCATGTCTGTGGAAACTGAGCTTCCTCAGGGAGGGGTCTGTATTGAGGAAAATGAAATTTAAAAGTCATTCCAGTTTCGTCAGTGTACACACACCCTCCAGAGAAACCCAGAATAAAACTTACACACTGTGCACTTTCCTGACTAAACATAACCCTTCTTGCTGGACTGTCACCTGCAGGGAGCCATACGTGTGCATCACTGGGTTATGCAACTGATGATGCCACCTGCACACGCCCAACACCACATTCTCAGCTTCCTGCTTATGTGGAGGAATGCCTATGTATCGATACTCCTGTGCTCCCCGATAACAGCTTATTGATTCATCGGGGATAGGCTGAAGGTGGCGCTGTCTTGGGGTGTGAAATGCAAGAGACAGAAGACCAACAACACTGTACACATGTGCTTTCATTGTAACACCATGAATGTGTCGTCCTCTTGCCCCTGCTGCTGAGACCCACCAGTGAAGCTCTAGTTCCCCCTTGCTGTTCCCGGCTTTGGCTAACAAGAGCTGTGCAATGCCAAAGGTGGTTTTAATGTTCAGTGTGCCTATGTCTAGATGTGTAAATGGGAAACAGCAAAATTAAGACACGGGACTGCTTGTGAAACTGTCATCTCTGCAGAGCTCTTAGATTGTTAATGCCAGGTATATGCTATTATTCAGCGAATGTCAGCTGCTGGCACCATCATTCTTAAGATCATATGTCCCTCATAAGCTACCCACATTGCAACTGAGACTTTGCACTGCTCTGGGTTCTGCCTCTCTTCAGGCCAGACACTACTGGAAACTTTGAATGATTTCTGTCAGGGGGGGGGGGCGGGGATTGTATGTGTTTGTGTGCATATATGGACATGCACATGCCGTGGAAGCTAGAGAACAACTTAGAGAGTCAGTTCTTTCCTTCTACCCTGTTGATTCTAGAGAGGAAACTTGGGTTCTCGGGCTTGGCAACAAGTGCCGCTATCACTGAGCTATCTCCACGGCCCACTAGAGCTAACTTAGTATAGCCACAATGATGCCACTGCCGTGAAAATTCTGGGAGTGACATCCAGGGAAGATGAATACCTAAGTGGGAAGAGTCAGAATTTAGAGAAATGATTCAAAAGTTGATGCAAAATGTAAGGTTACCAGAGTTCAACACAAGGGGAGAATTTAAATTGTTTTGCAGAATGTTCAAAGGAATGTATTTTTAGCATAAGGTTCTAGCACTGTCCTGGCTTACAAAGAAAACCACCATCATGAAATTTTGAATCGGCTTTGAAGATTAATACTAAATTACAGTTCTGCATTAAACAGTCTGTCTGCCCTGATGATGTGCATTATGTTCTGTGAATGATGGTACCTTTAGTAAACTTCTCTACTTGACATTGTTAAAAATCCACCAAACCATTCCCTGGCTGAATCATAAGCACACCAATAGAATGATAGTCTTCTCTTCACAGATCTGTGGATGCCAGACTTTTACTTCCCAATACTCATCTTTCTCAGGAAGATCTACTTTCTTAACCTGGTTTCTGTGTGTTGGTGATGCGGAATCTGAGGGAAGCAGAAGACAGGAAAGAGACAAGGGGCTAATGGAGGAGAGGATTTGTAGAGCAGATTGCTCTTGGGGTGCAGGGGACACAGTGGATGGGGCAGGGAAGACACCTATGTGGATGACGGATCGTTGGATAAAGACTGTTGCAAAACCATTCTTGCAAAACATAGACTCCCAATTTAAGAAGAAATTCAGAATGTAAGAAGATACTCAGAACTAAGAGAATGAATTTCCCACATTCTATAAATAAAAATAATGTCTAAGTTGAGCAGTCTCAGAAGCTGAAATAATTTAGTTTACAGGTCTTCACTGATAAGTTTTCTTTTATTTTTGCCCACCCCCTTTTTTTCCAGTGCTGAAGATCATAGCAGACCCTCAGACACTCTGAACATAAGCTATGATACTGTTGCTTCTCCAGCTGCCAGGTGTTGGGGTTCTGATTGTATGAAGTGAAGGTCCCAAGCACCGTCCATCCTGTGCTGATGGGAAGTTAAACTGATATTTTGCAGTGGGTCAATCATCATAGATGGATACTCATTGAGTTAATGTGCCTGGGCAGATGGCACAGACTTTCCCATCCATCCACTGAGATCATGGTTGAACCATCCATCAAAGCTCTGAGAACCTTAAAGCTTCACGCCGGTGTGTGAAGACCAAATTCAGACTCTTCACAAGGTGCAAAGACACTTCCCTATTAGTAAAAATGACACCGAACTGACACACCAGCTCTGTACTGCTAGAAGGAAACACAAACAATGCCTTGTCTAGAGAGAAAGGTGTTACTTAATCCTAGTTTTTGGACTCAACATCTAAGACTAGGGAGAGCATTGTTTTAGCATCCTGTGGAACTGGCAGTTAGATATGCCAGAATCACATGTCCAAGTTAGCAGTCAGACACTGATCTGGAAGAGAAGGGGTGAAGACTGAGCAGAAAAGAGAGGGGTCTCACAACCTCCTATAGGACACACCCTAGTGACCTTAGGACCTTCCACCAGGCTCCTCCTTTTAAAGGCCCACAGCACCTCCGGTCACGCTGGGAGCCAATAAGAGAAAGGACCTTTCAGTGTAAAATTTTACTAACTCTCCACAAAGGTGCCCACATGGAGACAAATGTAATACTGCCCTCTAAGGTTTCTCTTCACCTTAGAACACTAACTGAAGTTTGTGTTGGAAATTATCTAGTATCTAAACGTAACAAATCAGAGAT